AATTTTCTTTTGTCTTGCTCACACTACACTACGACCCCACAACTACGACTGCAAAATAATACAACAATTTATAAGAGTTGACAGGATTACCTTATCCAGCCATGAGTAAATCTAGAGACAAATCCATCCCAGAAACAGGTAGTTCTACCTCTCCTCCTAAACTAAATCTTATACCATTTAACCCACATGGAAAGCTAAGTCTAACTTCGTAGATGAGACTGTGAGAAGCAAGTGGCGAGACAAAGGATTGGCAAACAAGAGCTCCACTTTTACATACCAAAGTATTTTCAGCATGAAGCTTTCAACTATTTTTGTGAAAATTTAGTAGAGGAAATGGATTGGAACAAAATTAAACAAAAATTACTCGAGTACTTTCCACAGGAAGAAGAAGATTATTTCACCGAGTTTGTAAATCGACAACACCAGTGAGATGAAGACATCTTAACTTACTATCGAGAAAAAAACCTCCTTGGCGGAAAAAGCTAACATGCAACAGACCATTACAGGCCTCAATGCCGGCATAAATGCAGAAATTAGAAAATATATGATAGCCGCACCGCCAACCACTGCTGTTGAATAGCTTCAGAAGGCTACTAAGTTAATAAAAATTCAAGAAGAAGTAGATCATCCTCCGAAAACCCAGAAAGAAAATCATCCAGCAATTAAACCGAATCGAGAAAATTACACAGGATCCCAACACTTTGCCAAAAACCAGGTACTGTCATGGCCGCACACAAAGAAATTGACGCCATCTTGGATTTCGCCACAGGATCAACCCCAATACAGAAATTTGGTACATCACATGAGCAGACCACCATCACCTTGCCATTTTTGCCTTCAGCAGGGATTACCAGCCCAGCACTGGAGAAGAGACTGCCCCCAAAGATATTCAGCTCCTACTCACAGAAACGTACACATGGTATCTGAAGCAAATAAATCAGAACCAACTTTACCATCTTGACTACTACTAACTGTTTCAATGGAGAACAAGATGATGCCTGTGCTCATTGATACAGGAAGTTCCATTAGCCTTATATCCCAAGGACTATTAGATACTTTAGCCAGATACTTTCAATACCAATTGGATGTGAAGATTATCACTACAGCTGCAGGATCTACCACTAGCATGGCTAATGTATCAATCCCTCTTAAGATTGGAAGCCTAACAAAAAGCATTACTTTACATGTAGTATCCAGGTATTTCCCTTATTTAATTTTATCTTATCTTATCCAGACATTAGGAAATTCAGTCTTGTCATAGATTCTAGTCTTAATTAATCAGATCTCCCAAAATCAGACTATCCTAGCATTAGATCCTATTACTTTTGAAGTACGTTCAAATCACTGTAGTTCCACAAATAGTCACTATAGTAGAGATATTAGTCATTCTTGTAATAGCATAAGTAACAATAGTAATAGCTTATATAAGATATATCAGAGTGAGACCCCTCAGGCTCCTAACCTTCTAACCTAACCATCTCCTTTGGCTCAGAATGCAGCAGGAACTTGTAGGAATAGGGATAGTTCTACTTCCTTAAAGGAATCTTTGCTAAATATTTTAAACATTAGGGATGTTGTTAACCCTAATCTAGGGGTCCCCAAAGTGGTCGATAAGAGTTCTCCAGGGGTCGATTAATATGCAAGGGTCGAGAGGGGGTCAAATTAATACCAAAAAGGATCAATTAAATTGTCTAGGAATTCAATGTCCAATAAAAATTCAAAACACAGATATGATCAACAACATTACTAACTACCCTAGTTATAACTTGAGTTTTGCCTTAGTCTATGCTGCTTTAAGCATGTGCTACTTTGTTTTCACACATCTGGCAACTGTACTAGTGTTGCAAACATGTTATGAACACTAGTAGTTCATTATACACAGACATACATTGCACTGTTACACTCTAGTTGGGTTGTCACTCTAAGTATTTTATATCTAAATGTAGATATTTTGCTCTTTACAGAAAAAATATCGTAATACTCGTATATCAAAAATCATTAATATAGTACAGAAGCATTTGCAAGAAAAAATGGCCTTTCAAGTAAAAATGGAGCTATTTAAATCTTCACTGGCACGATCCGATTTTAAATATTTTTCAAACTTGTGAGTACTAAAAGATAACGAAAAGATTTCCAACCGTGATTTGGAGATATACATTAAACATCTTGATAAATCAAGAGAAGACTTTAAAGCACGTTTCGAAGAATTGGAGAATGTGCATGTTTCCGAATGGTTTGCTAATCCATTTGATGTAAAAATAGATAATGAAGGTAGTGAAACTAACTTAGAAGATGAATTGAGTGAAATATGTGTAGATCTCAAAGCTAAAGCATTGTTTAAAAATAAAAATCTCAGTGAATTTTGGAGCAATAACAATATTGCCACTAAATATCCCAAGCTCAGAATACAGGTATACCTCGCCTTACGTCGGTAATTGGTTCCAGGAGAACGACTTAAGTCGAAAAACAACGTAAGTCGAATTTACTTGTCTCCAAATCTACTTGTCACTAGGCTAAACCATAAATTGCCAATTCCGGTTCTGTATTTTATTTATTAATGCATTTTTAATAATATATGGTTAATAAGGATCTATTTTAAGCTTACAAACAAATTTTAGTTTTTGATATAGTACAGAAAAAAGAAATCTAAATTTACGAATGCATGTACTGTAAATGTATATATTTTAATATGATTTTATGTGCTTTAAACGCTTTTCTAGTGATATTATGACTTCAACATTTGTGGCGGACAGACGTAAAGTCGAATAAAATGACTTAAACTTGATTTTTATTTTCCTATATACTTTTTTGACAAACAACGTATAATCGGGAATGACGTAACTCGAAACGACGTAAGTCAAGGTATACCTGTAGAAGCCAAACCTTTCTTACTTGCATTCCCAACTTCATACATGGTTGAAGCTGGTTTTAGCCACGCAAACATAATTTTGACAAAACAGAGGAACAGATTGAACTTGGAAAACCGTGGTGATTTGCAACTAAAACTTACCAATTTTCAACCGAATATCAATAATCTTTCTGCTTCTCTTCAGAGTTAGTTAGTTCATTAGAATTTATTGGCACAAGGGCCACACAGGCCAAGCTGCACCATGCCAAATGGTATAAATAAATAAATAAATAAATATACATATAATGTAAAATGTTTAATATAAATAAATAAATAAACTAATAAATAACAAAATCAATAACAAAACAATATATAACATTACACATGTAAATAATAACAAGATATATACATAAATGAATAAATAAATAAATAATCAACAAGGTATATATAAACATAACCTAGATAAATAATTAAATATGTTTATAAATATTATTCATTTTCAAAAACTTCAATAATTTGTCAAGATTTGGCCTCTGGCCCAAAATCTCTCTCAAACTTGCATTTCCGAAATGCTGTCTACAACTTTGATCAAGAGCAGTGCAGTGGCAAAGTATGTGTTTTACACTTAGAAAGCAGTTGCAATACTCACATACTGGCTGGTCTTCACCCTTCGAAAGGTATTGATGAGTCAACCGAGTATGCCCAATTCTCAAACGAGTAAGAATTAGCTCAGATCTCCTGTCATACTGTTTATTATGTGTCCAATTTTCTATATTTGGCTTGATCTCATGTAGTTTATTGTGGACTTGTGCATTCCACACGTTTTGCCATCTCTCTGCTAGTCGTTTTTAACTACTAGCTTCAAATCACCTCCTTCAATATGCATTGTATGCTGTAAAAAAGTAGCTGACTTTGCAGCTGCATCAGCTTCTTCATTTCCTTTTATACCTACATGGCCTGGGACCCAACTAAATTTTACAAAAAAATTACTCGCAGTAAGATGGCAAAAGAGCTTACGAATTTTAATCAGTATAGAGTGAGAACTAGGTTCACATGAGATCAAAGCCTGAAGTGCACTAACTGAGTCAGTGTAAATAACACAGCAACGATGACCTTTCCTATTTATATACTTGAAAGCTAAATAAATAGCATGCAACTCTGCAGAAAAGATGGAAGAATTCAATGCAATTTGTTCTGCCACGATTTCATCCTGGCATACGAAGGCTGAACCAACATAATCATCAGATTTAGATCCATCTGTATAAATAGGAATTAAATTCCTGTCACAATGTTGAATTTCTGCAAAGTGCTGTCTGTAGACATAGTCTGGGGTGGATTCCTTTGGAAATTGCTTTAAGTTAAGGTCAACATTTATCACAGGGGTTGACCAAGGAGATATATTACAGACCTCTAGCTGTGAAATGTTGCCTGTGTTCAGATCACTCGTGCTGCTCACATTCTCCATTCTTATGGCAAATGAAGAAACACTGCTTAGGCGAACTTCAAATAACCTTTTCAGCTGAGTATCTAATACTGTACAATCAACTGGAGGTTTAGTGTGAGATTTCTGTTTTATATAGTAAAATAAAGACAACTGTTCTCTCCTGATAGATAGTGGAGGCTCATAAGCATCCACATACAAACTTTGTACAGGAGAAGTTCGAAAAGCACCAGTGCACAAACGTAGTGCGTGATGATGGATTGGATCCAGCCTCCGAAGAGTAGATTCTCGCAAAGAGCCATAAACAATGCAACCGTAGTCCAGCTTAGAGCGGACAAAGGCCCTATAAATTCTGAGCATAGAAACTTTGTCTGCTCCCCAGGATGAGCAGCATAGTACCTTTAAAAGGTTTAGAGATTTTAAACATCTACTCTTCAGGTTGCGCAAGTGTGGCAAAAATGTCAGTTTTTGGTTGAAATAAACACTCAAAAACTTAGCCTCATTCACCATTGGAATTTTATTGCCATTTAGGTGAATTTCAGGATCCAGGTGCAAACCACATCTTCAGCAAAAGTGGATGCATGAGGTCTTCTTTGCGTTAAATGTAAAACCATTGGTCTTGGACCAATCATATATGCGATTTAGGGAGGTTTGCAGTTGTCTCTCGATGAAACTCATGTTGTTAGACTGGCAGGAAATTGAGAACACAACATGCATCTGTATCACATGCAGTGTGTCCAGGCATTGCAACCGGATGATTATGCACCTCATATTGCTTTCGCACAAAGGTACCTTGGAAAGTGTGCTACAGATCCCAGTTTCCCTGCTAAAGTGTTATTTACCGATGAGGCATCCTTCACAAGGAAAGAAATACTCAACACTCATAACGCCCATTTCTGGATGGAGGAGAACCCGCATACAATACAACATCGTGCAGAACAGAGTCGGTTTTCGGTTAATGTTAGGGCCGGTATTGTGGGGGATCACCTCATTGGACCTTACCTGTTGCCACTTAGTATAACTGGAAGTAACTACTTGATCTTTCTGCAGCAAGTATTACCACAACTTTTGGGTGACAAACAGATTTCTGCATCAACACAACAAATAATGTGGTTCCAACATGATGGAGCCCTGTCCATTTCAGCTGTAGTGTTTGGTATGTTCATTAAGTCGAATGAGTTAAACGCATTAGTAACAAATCAGTCGAAAAGTAGTAGTCTCGCTCAGTGCGCATGCTCTGCGGTGATGACGTTTCGAACAAAACTCTAATGAAGTTCACGAAGGAAAGAGTTGGTTTACTTCGTTAAGAAAATGACGTCCAACAATATCGATGTTTCTGATGTACTGCATATGTGCTCTAATTGTGGGTTGAAAGGCAATATGTTACAAATAACTACCCATATGCAGAAATGTGAAAATAAGAATGGTAAGCAGAGTTCTTTTCTTATTTTTTTTACCTTAAATAAAAATTAACACACGAAATTTCAAAAATCTTATACTGTATTTTATCCTAATTATTTTTTTACAAAAACTACACATCTGCATAAGATATAAGTATATAATAAACGAACATACCATTATAAATAATTATTATTATATCAAGAATTAAGAATATTAATGATTATATCTGATGCTCAAGTAATATTTCTAAACAGTTGATACACTGAAGTTAATATACAACAATTAATAAGCTTTTTGTCCTCTTAGAAATAAGTAAAGTAGCACAATTATTCACTTTTTGTTGGGACTTATCACACACTGAGTGGAGTATAAATCCCAACAAAAAGTGAATAATTGTGCTACTTAAAGTTAATATGTTAAATAATAAATGAATAGTAGCTGAAGAAATTCAATATGTTTATATTTAAAAAAGAAACATATGCTACAGAACAGTAGGTAATAACATACAAGGCTAAGGCATCTAAGCATAAAAAATAAGTTATATCTTTAATTATTTATATGACTTTTAGGACCTAGATGTCCTAGCTTTATTAATAAATCAATTCATATTAATATCAGTTTTAATTAGAATACCTGTATTTTATTACTTAGTTTGTTCAAATTAATCTTCATATAAGTGTTCTTTTGTTGTACAAATCTAAGCATTTTGCTTTTAAAATAGACATTTTTAATTTAAAAACTATAGTAATCTTAATGTTTAGCTTGATCAAATTTAGATCTGTCTCATCTAAAATCTGATTAAACACATCTATATACTTTTTAAACATAAGCAGTAAATATAATTAAATTATTTATTAATGTAGAGGACTTGGTTGCTGTATCATCAAATTTACGCTACACAGACGCTACACACTGCATAAATTATTTATGTTTTCAGTTGATCCAAACATAAGACAAAGAACAGATGAAGCTCCTGGAAGTCAGTCTGTCACATTTAATTGGAATGATGAAACCACACACTTGCTTCTTGATGAATATAAAATAAACGAAAGCATGTTTTTGTCTCCTTATTTTAACAAGTGTGGGAAAAAATAGCCAATAGCCTTAAAAGCTATGGCTATTCCGTAACAGCACTTCAATGCGAAAATAAATTTAAATCTTTAGAAAATAATTATAAAATAATAAAAGTGGGTCATGCAGGAGGAAGTGCTGTTACATGACTGAGTTGGATGAAATATTTGAAAAGGATCCAGCTGTACAGCCTGTTTCATTTGCTAGTTCATCTTCTGGGTTCAATAATTCTGTTGCCATAACAGAAAATGGACATATTAATACAACTCAGGAAACTCCATCACCAAAAGCATCTGCAAACAAAAAGTGCAGAAAAGAAGAACCCGAATGGTTTAGGAATTACAGACTTAGTGTCGAAGAACGCCACGAAGAGAATATGCAAATGAAAAAACTTATTATTAGAAAAATTACAACATTTAATCGATAAATTGTAAAACAATTATATTTTGTAAATAAAATATTGATTTATAGTTTGAATGTGTTTTAAATCAAAAATGTATCTATAATTGTCCATATTTAGTTCAAATTATTTTAACTTAGAAATAGTGGGACATTGGGCAGGTTTCTAAAGGCAATTATCATGCCATTTTTAAACACAAATTAAGCCATAATGCTAATTGCTTTTCTTATGTAAATGAAAATTATTAATTTAAATAACTATTAAATAACATCAACAAACCTTTATAATTAAACCAACAAATAAAGAATAAAGTTTTTAATATACTTTGACAAGCGCTTTTGATCCTAATTGAGATCTGCTTCAGGTCAAAACATTCTATACAAAAATTTGGAATGCTTAAAGAGCAATTTAAATAACTATTGTTGTAACCTGCTGCTATTTTAAGGAACAACAATACTGTTTTATTTAATTCACAAAATCTAATTATTTTTGTCTATATTTTAAGTGGCAAATAATATAGCAAAAGAATGTTTACAGACAACTTTAAATGAGCTGATTTTCTGTGGAAATTTAATCATAGGTTCAATTGTGCTGTGAGATAAAACAGGTTGAAAAATACTGACAGAGCATCAGAATGTCACTACGATAAAAATCCAAATCAGAAAAATGGTATAATGCTATGTTTTATTACAAATAAAAGGTGTTGATGCACATGGCTCTCATTTGATAATAGCAATAGCACTCATCATTTGAGTTATGCTCATTACCTTTTTTTAAATCTCAGACTTGCTAATCATGTAATATATGTGGCCAAAGACTCAAGTTTAAAAGTTGAAGGTGAAGGCAATGTACCCGTGTATTTAAGCATCAAAAGTATATCTTTTAATTGTACACTAAAGAATGCTTGGTAGATACCTGAAGCAACTGTTAACTTGTTATCAGTAAGTTAGCTTGCCAAGAGAGGTTTGAATGTCTATTATGATGAAAATGAATGTATTATAAAAAAAAACGAATTCATGTATGCAACAGCAAAGAAATTAACCATCTGTATGAGCTGGATGTGTATAAAAATGCTGTAAATATAGCTGTTCCCAGAATACACATTGGTTATGGCAAAAATGAATATGACATCCCAATAAATATATTATGAAGTATATTTTGAAAGAGAATCCAAACAGTGTCGATTTTAAATTAGTTCCAAGTGATGTGTACTCAAGGTAAAAGTCAACATCAGTTGTTTTACCAAAGTACAAATCATCAAACAAAAGATCTATTAGAGCCTGTTCATAGTGATGTATGTGACCCCATGGTGGTGACATCCCGTGGAAGTGCAAAGTATCTGCTGATTTTTATTAATGACTATTTGGGATGGACTCATGTTTATCTTCTAAAATCAAAAAGTGAAGCTCTTAACTGTTTTATGAACTATACAAGATTGGTACAAAAGCAAACAGGCAAACAAATTAAAAACTTGCAGACTGACAACAGCAGTGAATATGTGAATAGTCAATTTAGGACTTTTTTCAGCAAAAATGGGATCATCCACCAGCTTACTTCTCCAAATTCACAACAACAAAATGAGAAATCCAAGTGGATGAACAGGACTCTACTAGAAAAGGTTTGTTGTATGTTGCTCAAGACTAAGATTTCCCCAGAATACTGGGAAGGAAGTGTATTAACAGTAGCCTACATTATTAACCATATTCCACAAAGGAATGAAAAGATTCCATATAAAAAATGTGAAAAGTGAGTTTAAGGCATCTCAGAATATTTGGATGTACAACTTATGAACATATCTATAAAGCACAATAAAAGCACAAGTTTCAAACATATGCATCTGTTTGGTTAGTCGCCCACCATGAAAGCTTACAGACTGTATCCCAGCAACAAGCCTATCATGATATCATGAGATGTAAAATTTGGAATGTCAAGAAAGAATACAGCTGTAGAGAAACAAACAGAAACTATGCACATTTTTCCAATCTCTAGCCTAGATGAGGAGGAAGATTCCACTAAAGATAAACCCGAGTTCATCAGCGACTGATTTTAAACTTGATGACGATGAACACCCAAGGTATCAATGCAGACTCCATGATGTCTAATGACAAACCTCAGGAGAACCAAGAAAAGCAGTGCTATCCATCTATCTCAAGACCAAATGCTTGACCAAGGAGAAATGTTAAGCCACCACAAACATATGGTGATCCAATTGTTTATGCCAGTGGTTCCCCACTGGTGTTCCACAGAGCACTAGTGTACCTTAAGCATTTCAAAAGTATTCCACAATAAGGCCAGATTATTATATCACACTATTTCATAATATTTAACTTTATACTAATGTAGTTATATTTATAGTTTAATATTTAAAATCTCAATTTGATTAAATTACAGAATATTTTAATTGTCATTACTTTAATTATATTATTTAACATTGGCAGCATGTTGATTGTTTGTATGGCAACCCAAACGTTCTGACATCTATCTGAGCTATCCAGATCAGTGTCACATCAGAAGCAAGTTTGTGCATCATATAAGATGTGTATTTCTAAGCCACACATTTTCATATAAATGTATGGATCATGAGCAGTCCAGATACTGTATTAATAATATTTTGCATATGTGTCATCTTTCATACATCAGACTAGTGTATTTCTGGTCTAATTGCTACACTTTTACTCCAAATTCTATTGCTGTCTGCTATTCCCTCCAACTACTAATGGAAAAACAGAAGATTAGATATTTAGCTACCATTACAGTTTTTTTTGTTTTCAAATGGAGATGATATATCTGTAATTCTATTAACAAACAATTTTAAGTTATCATAAAATATAATTAAATATATATTAAATTTTATACCTCTAAAAATGATGAAAAGATTTATCATAAGGAAAAATAATTATGATACAATTTCAATCAATGACAATGAGAATGAACAGCAGCCAGTTTAAATGCAATACCCAGCAGCTCAAAAAAATGTAAAATTAATAGTCAGTATATGAACAAATATATGAATTAAAGTTTTACATGGACAGGCAATAAAAATTATCTGATACCATTGTATTGTGTACATGGACTTAAACTTGCTAATAGGGCAATGGTTCCTGCAAAATTGAAACATTTTACAACTAAGCATAAAAATCTTACTTCAAAAGGAAAAGATTTTTTGTGAGACTTTTAAATGTGAAAAACAAATAAATAATGTATTTCAAGAAAATTTTGAAATTATCAGATGAAACCCAAATAGCATCATATAAAGTAGCAGAATTACAAAAGATGATTAGAATGATAGCTTCCAAACCATATTATTTAGGAACCTTAATTTGAAGTGAATGGGACCAAGATTACTTTGAATTACAAAAAACTCTGAATATAATAACAGGAAAAGTCAGAAGTCATGAAAGAAAAAACAATATACATGCAAATTCAAAACTATGCAATAAATGGCACAATTACAGATCTAAATGACATTGTTGGGACCTTAACAAAGCTGTAGACCATATATGTGGATTGACTCCAAGCGTTATAGCTGTGTGGTTGTGCTAAATTGGGCTCCTGGATTTCGCGCAGTTTCTCCTTGGATTTAAC